GCCTACTCAATATATACTCATCTCGCTAGAGCCAGGCCAGATACACAACCCGCAGCGAGCTTCGGTGGGACGCTGTGTGTCGAGCGCTAGTCAGGGGTTGACTGCCGCCAGCGCTCAACCGCCACTGCTTCCAAGGTCATGAGACGTGAGCCCAATCCAGGAACAGGAGCGATAGCAGATTTCGACAGCAGATAGGACAGTCGAGCGAAGCCTCGGGGAGCCAGGCCCACGCGAACGGCATGTGATGGTTCGTTGCCGAGGGGACAGACAAGGACGCGAGCTCACCGACGACCTCTTCAGTGCTAAAGCGGCGATTCGAAGTCCGCCTTCATCGGTCAGGTTGCTGTATCGCCCACGAGACACACGAGGCGGAAGCTTATCGAGTGCCGTGGGCAAGGTCGTCGCCTAACGCCTGCCAGAGGAGTCGCGCTAGGCTCGTGTGAGCACTAGCTCGCAGCTCGCCTGCGGGTCCAATCAGCAGCAGTCTATTCTCGCACATCAGGAATTTGCGGGTGGCAATGCAGCCATGCCGGCGGCCTCTGCGCCGGGTGGCGGACACTTGATCTAGTCGACGCTCCCACGAATTGGGCAGCCAATGGCGCGAGAGTTCGGCAAATCATGTTATCTAGAGTGGGCTGCGGGGTAAAAAGGAAGCTTCCTGATTCGATACACTGCCGACGTGATGCTAGGGGTGAGGTGTGATGCTGCCTACCGAAGCACCAACAGAGCGGCCACAATCATTTCGGAGGAAGGTCTTCCGACGTCGAACACGGCAAGGCAAGCGGAGGTCTAACCACAGCAATCATGCCTGGTTGCCTTGCCGCTTCTCCTGATAGCTGTTTCATGCAACGAGACCATGGATAAGTGATAGAACTCAGTTACTCCGAGTGATTCAATGCTCCCCACTTTGTCTGTTGGCTGACAGCCCATTGTATCGAACAGGCAATTTGAAACGACGGGGTTTGAAAATCGTTCGATTCCTGCCGGCGGTCCAGGCCGCCCGCAGGATTCCCGTTGTCGGGTCAGGTACGATATCTCAACTTCGGCAGCGTCTCTGCCGCTGTGGCCGATGAAGAGGTCACTCTCTTCGACCACGGCCCCAATTGAATTGAGATACAGCACTTCGCAGAGGTGGATGCAGGTCATGTCTCCCGTGGTCCAGCGCCGTCCAACATGCAAGAGCGTTCCTGCATCTGAACCTTGCTATTCGAAGCTTTCGGCACGCTGAAGATGGATCCTATCTCGAGCACACTTACGGAGCCTTGTGGTCCGAGATCAACGGGCGTATAGTATCTCACTTGATGTCCATCGTACACGACAGATTGCACAGACTGCCCTCCAAATCGCAACTCTAGATTACACCTCCGTTCGCAGTCAACATCATCTCATGATCATTCTTTGTATCTTTGCTAAGGCGTGCTTTTGAAGGCCCCAGAGATGCCTCCCCTTGCAAGCCGTGTTGGGGCTTTGCCCTCAAGCGCACGTATCTGCATTCTGCATTTGCATCATCAGCGACAGAACAGCGACTAGCATGCGCCTTTTTGAGGCTGTAAGGATCGCTTCGAGTCTGTCAATGGCCTTGCAAAGAAGGTCTGTTGGAGAAGAGTGCCTCGGATTTGGGCAGAGGTTTGACTTGGTCTGTGAAGTTGCAATTGTAGGGGCAGTATCTGGAAGTCGAAAGCTTCCAGTCCGTACTCATTGGCCGAGACACAATGACTGCCGACGAGCCAATCAGATCAATCGTTCATTTCGCTCCCAATGGTCGGTGCCGATAGCGCCGTCCCATGTCGCGCCACGTTGTACGGCGCTCACATGGCCGTTTATCTCTGCTGCGAAGGTGGACTTGGTTGCCGAAAGCAATCGGCCCGCGCTCTGGGGGGCTTAACAGAGGCAACACCGACCCTTGGCGGCGGAACAAGCTGCGCGGCATCGGTCGCCCATAGGACGACGAGAACATCTTTCTTGACTTCAGAGCTGTTAGAGCTGGAGATCGAGAGATCGATTCAAAGACGGCATCGCCTAAGCTTATCGAGCGCCGACACGAAGATCAGGTGTATGACGAGACTTTCGGAAAGATGATGATTGCAAAGGATTGTAATTAGCAAGGCGGGCGTATCCAATGAGAGGTATCGTGCAGTGTATAGGTACATGGATGCAAAGAGATGCGAATCTAAATGGGTCTATCTAAAACTGGGGGAGGGAGATCTTGTCGGTGGGGTCGATGAGGTGGTCGAGGGTCTCGATTCGGGGCAGGATGGTTCCGAAGAGCTTGTCCCAAACGCGGGTCTGCTTGCCGTAGTTGCCGCTCTTCTTCCAGCCGCGCGAGTGGTGGTTGTCGTGATCCTCGATGACGAGGTCGACGTCGAACCTCTTCATAGGCACGAGGTCGAACGCGGGTGAGGTGCCGGCGATGCGCATGCCCGAGTGACCGATGAGCTCGATGAACATGACGTGCGTCCAGCAGACCATCCAGTCCCAGAAGCCCATGTCGAACACGGGGCGGAGCGTGAAGTAGGCGAGCAGAGGGATGAAGACGACATCGAACCACTCCTGCTCCATGTCGGCATAGAGGGTGAGGATGGGCGTCGGATGCTTGGCCGTGTGGTGGGTGCGGTGGAACTTCCAAAGCGTGTCAGACTCGTGCATGATACGGTGGTACCAGTAGAACCAGAAGTCGACGGCGAGCGAGAAGGCCGGGATCATGAGCGGCAACCAAGGCGAAAGCTTCATGGGTGCATCACGGTTGTAGATGACCAGCGTCGCTGCGGCAGGGCGGAAGAAAGCCGTCATGAGAAGCGAATTGAGCACCTCGGTGACCTTGACATCGGGAATGCCATCGCGCGTCGCCTGAGGCTGCAGGAAGCCGACGTTGGTGGTGACCTTACGCAGCACGTTGAGCAGGTTCGATCCGAACAGGCTGACGAACACACCCCAGTACAAAATATTGGCGACGGGGTGGAAGTTGCGCCCCGCCCACTGCGTGTAGACGTATTGGAGACCGATGGCCGGGAAGACACGGAGCGCGATCCAGATGTGAAGGTTGACGTTATTCCAAACGGGGATAGGATCGTCCTTCTCGTGAACCACGGCGGTGGTGTTTTGCGGAAGTGGGTCAATTCCAGTGAAGTGAATGAGCCAGTGGTAAACTCCCCACTTCTTGTCGGTCTCTGGCAAGTGCCATGTCGACTTGAGCGGTCCTTGTGACGGTCGAATGGGTTGTGGGACTCGTTGCTGCTTCTTCGAGGCGGCAGCAGGAGCCTTCGTTGCGGTGGTGGTGGCGGAGGCCGACATCGTGACCAGTGCTGAAGAGCAATCTACGCGAAATGAAGCTATTCGAACTGCGTCGTGATCGGGTGTGATAAAGGCAGTGTGTCGCCGAGAGGTGGTGGTAGTGGGGGCGGACGGATAGTGGTCAGGTTCGCAACATATATATGCTCTCAGCAAGCAAGCTAGACACGCTCCTCATCGTATTCTCGTTCAAGCATGTGCGGGGCTGACAGCGGCTGCAGCGCAACGTATCGGCTTCCGAGCATTCTACATGGTGCTGAGCAGCGTGAAACGTTGTTTCACATCTTGTCGAGGTGGGCGCCAGGCGCCCAAATTTTCCATTGGACCCTGACTGAACCGCAAGGGAACCGCCAGAACTCAGCCTTAATTCTTGCAGCCGCAAGGGGGTCCGAACGTCTCGTGAAAGGCGTCTTCGCTGTCCTAGCAGCGTTGCGCAACGGCGAGACTTCGGCAGTTGAGTCCCGCAGGTATGTCTTGACACGACCTGGTCCCTCGCGATGGCTCGTTGGTATCTGCTCTAAACCCCTGTGACGTGTCCTTGACAGCGAAGGTCCGGAAATTTTCCTAAGCGGATCTTGACGTGTAGAAGCCGGTGCCGCCACATATGTCCGTTGCTGGTGTGATCCCCTGGCAGGTCTATCAATCTCAGATTCACAACGCACTGTCTTCACCGTCGAGCTCGTTCTGCATATGCCAAGCAAAGCCTGCATCACACGGACTACAGCCTGCCGTGCGCGGTCGCGCCGCGGGTCACAAGACCTCAGACCTTCAGAAGTAGAGAAGGCTCGAGCACCTCGCACACAACAATGTCGACCCCATCGTCCGGAGAGCCGCTTCCAAGACCTGCAGATGCTTCGTACAACATTGAGGGCGCGGCGAGCGGTGCAGAATGAGCTGGAGCCTTCTCGAGCCCAGATTGTTGTGAGCATGCGTGGCGTAGCGGCTCCAAAACGTCGGAGTCACGTTGGAAGCTTCTGACACGCATGCAAAATTTGCTGCGCCCACGGCGGCTGCTGTCGAAAACAGCGGACCGCGCGCATGTGAAAAATTGGCGAGTGGCCGATCCACTTTGCGAATGATTTCAGATCGGCGATGCACATTTGCCAGGCGACGCCGCTCAGCGCGCACCCACACGATGGCTCGCCTTTGGCGACGTACCTATCACAGTCAGTCCTCTCTCTCTCGCAGAATCCTGCTAGTTCGTTCTTGTAATAGGGTTCTAGTTGGATTCATATATGTAAATGGGGTCGGCCTCATTGCCTACGAACGCTGGTAAACCCAAGTCGCCTTCGAGTGGATCTTTCGGCTGCTCGACCCGACGCTGAAGGTGAGCTTCCCACCCTCGGGAATCTTCCATCCTTGGTGCAAGGTCGACCACACTGCGATGTCCTTGTTCCTCAGCTCGAACGACACCTGTCTCGTCTCGCCAGGCTGGACGTTCTTGACCTTTTCGAAGCCGCGCAGGGTCCTGAGGGGCTGCGGGTTGTCGTGCGAGTCGGCGGAAGAGGGGAACGACACGTAGAGCTGTACGACTTCTGAAGCAGCCTTGCTGCCCGTGTTGGTGATCGACGTCTCGAGGGTGAGCGCGGTATCGTACAGCCCAGCGTTCGAGTTGATCAGCTTCTCCTTGGTAGGCTGGATCGACGTCTCATCCGTCTTGGGCGTCGAACTGACCGAGACCGAGTCGGAGTACGAGAACGAGGTGTACGAGAGACCGTGACCGAACGCGAAACGCGGCGTGATGTTGTGGTAGTCAAACCATTTGTAGTCGATCAGCAGCTTCTCGGTGAACTCCGCTGTGGGGTTGAGCACGGGGTCAGCGACGATCGTGTTGGGCGGGTAGTCGCTCTCGTTCTTGGCGATGGTGAAGGGAAGCTTGCCGCTCGGACTCGTCTCGCCCCACAGCATCTTAGGCAGAGAAGCACCACCTTCCTGTCCGGGCAAGTAGGCAAAGACAACAGCCGTCACGTTCGGATGCTCAATCCACTGCTCAACATCCACCTGACCGGGACTGTGGATGACGACGATCGTGTTGTTGTTGTTGGCGGCGACCGTCTTGATGAGGTTGTCGGCATTGGCCCAGAGCGTCAGGTTTTGGCGGTCCTGGTTCTCAGTCGCGTAGGTGTTGGCAAAGACGAGTGCTACATCGCTCGAGTTTGCGCGTGCCGTTGCTCCTTCCAGATCCCAGTTGTCCAGGTGAAGGTTGACATCCGGCCCGGCGGCTCGAACGTATTCCTGAATGGCTGCGGAAGGCGTGATCACGTACGGTGGGAACGCCCAGCCGGAGCCACCACCAATGGTCACAGTGCCATTGAAAGCGTTGATGTTGCACTGTCCAGACTGACCGCAGCTGGTAGCACCATAGAGGTTGTCGCCTGCATCCTGACCGATGACGGCGATGGTCTGCAGCGATTCGAGGCTCTTCAAGGGCAGACCGCGTCCGTTCGAGTCGTTGTTCTTGACGAGCGTGATCGACTCAGCTCCAATCTCGTGGATGATCTTGTGATGATCGCCACGAACGTTGTTGGTCGGCAGCGTCAGATCGCGAACATCGAACGACGGCTGCGGGTAGGAATCGTCTTGAAGCTCGAAGGCAGGCGTCAGGATGCGGAGCACCATGTCGTCCAAACGCGTCTCGGGCACGGACCCGTTGTTGACAGCTGCAATGAGCGCCTCGCCGTAGAAATCGCCGAACATTCCATTGTATGCAGTCCCGGGCATTGACACGTCAAGACCGCCTAGCGCCGATTCCTGGTTCGTCCATGTTCCTCCCCAATCCGAGATGACTGCGCCTTGGAAGTAGAGCTCCTCCTTGAGCAGGTAGTTGAGGGAGAAGTCGTCTTGGCATGCGTGGGTACCGTTCACCTCATTATAGCTGCACATTATTGCGCCGGTGCCGGCTCGAACAGCTTCAGCGAAGGACCAGAGGTAGAGCTCGTGCGTGGTGCGGTCATCAAGAACAGAGTCAATTGGGCTCTGCTGCAAACGCGGGAAGACGTCGTACGGCTCCGAGAGATTGTACGGGTTGCGATACGTCTCCTGCTCGTAGGCGATGTAGTGCTTCGCGCAGGTCACGACGCCCTGTTCTTGAGCATGCTTGACTGTGAGGTATGAAGCGACGCCGGAAAGGAACTCGTCTGGGCTCCAGCCTTCCCAGTTCCTTCCGCCGCGCGGGGCACGGCCAAGAGGGCCACCGGTGACGGGGCCGAGCCAGATGTTCACGCCCTTGTCGCGGAACTCTTGACCCAAGGCCTCGGCCCTCTGCGCAAAGAGCTCGCGATCCCAAGTAGCCGCAGTAGTGACGCCGGCGGGGAACTGTGAGACGCGGCGAGCCGGGCGAACACCGGCAGGACCGTCTTGAAGGCAAAGAGCTTCGAGACCGAGACGAGGCGCGGTACCTGTGAAGCCGACACACTTGCCAGTGTAGCCCGTGGTTACGTTGACCTTCTCTTCGACGGTCATTTGGTCGATGAGCGACTTTGCTTTGGCAAAGCCGTTGGACCAGGCGGCGCCTCCGGTCGTGTAAGGGCCGGTGTAGGAGTGGGCGCCATTGTCGCGAGCGAAGATGTCTTCTGTGGTAGAAAAGAATTGCGGAGTGGAAGGTGCAGCGCTGCTGGAGCCGATGAAGGCGGCGAGAGCCAGCAGCGCAGTCGCTACAGGTGATTTGAGTCCGATCATTGCGCCACTTTGATCGCAATGGACGGGGAAGGGGGACGGGAAAGGGGGACGGGGAAGGGGGGGATGTTGTAACTGTTCAGGTCCAGGATGAATGACAGGAGACTCAGCTCCTTATATGTCACATCGCGAGCCTATCCGAGCCACGATGGTTCATAGACAGCTGCATCTTGGGAAGTGGGGTGGGGCACCTATGAAGAGGGCGGAAGTAGAAGCCGCAAAACACCGGCGAAGTGTGCAGGGATCGGCGGTACGGGCAGGACGATCTGGTGACTTGATCTCAAACACAAGGCTCTGGTCGAGTGCCGGCCTCATCGTGACAACCCCACAGTCAAGATCTCGTCAAGAGTCCTATAGCAACTTTGCGGGGCCCAGAAGCGGAGAAAATGCAGCGGACCTTTGACTTCTTCGAGAAAGTGAGCGACCGGCAATGCATCGGTCAATTTCTCGAGAGTTTGTCGATCTCGCTTGTCCCGTTCCCCCCACGCTCGCTTGGAGCATCGCCATGCGGTCATCTGTACCATCGGCTCGCACGATACTCTCGCAGGCAGCCATTCTCGTTCTCGGTTGGAACGACGGTCCGGCCCAACTGTGTATTTCGCCGAAGAAGAAGTTTTGCTCCGCGCCCGAAATGACCGCTCGAGGATCGGCCGGTCAATTTCGACTGCGCACGTCCTCTGCTCATCTCGGCGCTCCTAGGGTCCATCATTCCACTCTTAGCTCTCTTAAGTCGGCTCACATGGTGACGGTGCGAGCGCACGGGTGCCTATATCGATGCGAGTCCTTGATTGACTACGTGTGATGGTACATGTTTACTATAAGTCGTATGCCGCTCGACCCTTCAAGTTAGATATCGCTTCGCCCAGCGCTTCGAGTCGCAAGGTCAACTGTACTAGGCCGGGCGACCCATTTCTGACGCCGAGCGATTGATCGAGAGCGGCTCTGAGGTCCGTCTGTGCACCTCTCAATGAAGTCGTTGGCAACCCACCGAATTGCGACAATGCGTCGGGTTTTGCGGCTGCTTTGTGTGGCTTTCCTCGATCATTGTCCTTTTTGTCGTTCTTCGAATTCGCCGGTCGAGTCTCGCTTACCGTCGGATTCGTGTGGGAGCCCGCAGGTGACGAAGACGAATTCCTAAGCGAGTTCGGCAGGCTTGATTCCGCTTCACTTTCCTTCGCAGCATCTGCGTTGCTCGACCCACCGGCTCTTCTTCGCAACCCATTCGCCGCGATATCCTCCCTTTCTCCGTCCTTCTCGCCCGTGTCACCGATGAGGATGCCTTTGTCGCCGTCAAGGTGGGAGTAGTCCGGCTGAACTCTTGCGACGAGCATCCGCGTGGACCTCGGCGTATCGTTCAACGCTCCGACATCGGTCGATTTGGATGCCGGCTCGCCAACGACAGTCGCCCGAACTTCCGGAAGGATGCGCGAGTCGTACGAGGTACTGCTGAGGCGAGATGCGCCGTACTCCATCTTGGCGCGGCTGAGCTTGTGGAAGCCGCGGCTGAAGTGGTCCGACGTCGTGTTTCGCACTTGCTGGTATTGATCAAGCACCTCGAGGTACTCTGCGATGAGCCGGTCCAGGTCGTCGCCCACAGATGCAGCAGCCTGTTCGTCACCGTGGTGTTGCACGTCTTTAGAGGCGGTCGAATCCGGTTTGCTAACAGCACTGGATGAGATCGTGTCCGACTGTATAGCTAGTGAAGCCGGCAGCGCAAGATGATGGATCGGCAATCGTTCAGAGCTAGAACCAGATCGCAGCTCACGACTGTCTTCCTCAGCCATGCCGTGCTGCTCGTTGAGGTCATCACTGCGCCGATGGTGGCCAAGCATTTCGAGCGTCTCGTCCGAATTCTTGACGCCATGGCCTTGAGCCTGACTGCGTCGGAGCGCGCCGTCACTTCCCCCTCGCCGCGAGCGCCAATGGCAGAAAGCGAGCAACACACAAAGAGCATTGAATGCGTCGTAGGTGCGATAGGTGTATCTGATGCCCCATACCAGTGCATACCAGCCAACGATGCCAAAGCCGGCAGCGAGTGCCTTGGCTTCAAGAGCGGTGCGCGGTGGTTCGAGCGTGCGTCCTCCAGCCATGAGCCAGACAAGAATGACGATGGGGGCCACATCAAAGACATTGTGGTCCATCCAAGAGGCCATCGTCTTGGGCGTTTTGAGGCCCACGGACGCCAAATTGCGCACCCATGTCACCAAGAAGCTTGCCTTCTGTGGAAGCAAGAGTACGAGAATCAGGAAGATGCTGAGGTGCTGATGGTAGCGCGTTTCGTCCAGATGCGGTGCCGCCCGTGTTGATCGGAGCTCCAGCAGAGCACGTAGCGTGTTGAGAAGCTGCAGCAAGAAGATGCAAAGGAAGACAAACTGGTGAGGCACGAAGAGCACGACTGACATGAGCAGGACCGTCAGCCCGATCATCGATTGTCGATTCCATCGCAGAGGATCCGAGCTCGCGGTTGCTGCTCCAACCCAGTCCAGCTTGCGGGCAAAACTGGCCTTCGTCACGACTGCCGCGATGAGCGAGAACGACCACTGGATGGACGCCACGATGACGAACAGTGTCGCGTACGAGACGAGCAGAAAGCAAGGCACAAGAGCTGCAGAAGAGGAGAGATGGCCCAGTCCCAGAATCATGCCAAGCAGAGATGAACCCGGCCCGTGAGTTCCTGCATCGATGATCGACTTGTACAGAAGGAGACGAGCAGCGTCCATGACAAGCAGAGCGGCTGTCAAGCTGCCCAGCAAGCCGAGCAGTGGATCGCTTTTGTGGAGGACGGGAGTGCGGAAGACGGGCTGTGTGATCGATATCAGAGGCGACGCGAAGGCATGTTCTGGACTCAGCGACCAGCTGAGCCACGAGAGTCCGACGCAGATGCAGAGGATACCCAGGGGCCACGCTGCCAGGAAGAAGCGATAGCGGAGCAAGACGAGACCTGCCGAGGTCTTCCAGTCTATGGTGATGAGGATCGGGTCGAAAGGCGTCTTGCAGGCCACTGATTGACCGGGTACATCTCGAAGCAGCGCCGGATCAGACCACAACTGAACCTTGACCTCGGTGATACTGTCGCGGGCGGGGGGCATGAAAGGAGCGTTGCCGTGGAGCGAAAGCGGAAAGGTGATGTACCCGTATTTGAAGGTGTGCTTGCGGATCCTTCGCACCGCGTCTGGCGAGACAAGCTGCGGATACCAGCGAGTGTCGCCCGTGGCACGATCCGAGACATGCAAGAAGGGCGCAAAGGAGGGCTCGGTGCTGTGAAGACTTTCGGAGCCGGTGTGCAGGGTGTACCTCGCCAGGTTCTCGACCAGACATTTGCTCGGAACGACTTCGATACGTCTGGCGAGCAGCGACGAGCTGAAGTCTTTGAGTATCCATTCGGTGGCGATTGGGATCGCGCCTTGCGTGGCGATGCCAGCATCCCGATGATGCTGTTGCTCAGCAGTGTCCTGCGCTGTGGTGAGTAACAACGAGCTGCTGTACTTTCTCACGCGACCGGAGGCTTGACGGACCCAACCTGCTCGTACAAAGGTGTTGAGCCCGCGTTGATGGACAAAGACGCCCTGGTCCGTCTTGCGCTCAACACGAATCCAGTCGACTCGCTGCCTCTTGAGGAAGTTGGCATCGAGATGTAGACGCTGGAAAGCATAGCCAGGAACATGGTAGAGCTGTTCGGCGCTCGGAACAGGTGCGTTTTCTGCCAGGCTCAGATCGACTTGCCCAGCGGTCTCCTGAGAGAGGATGTCGGTACGGGGCAGCAAGCTTGGCGGGATGAGCTCCCACTGCCACGGCATGATGGATTGACAGGAGGTCTTGAGGCCACCGACGGGGTCACCCGGGTCTTGTTTGTTGCTGCACAGCTGCACCACGAGCTCCATTGGCTGAGGGATGGGTGCGCCCATGCCTGAAGACGGGTTCCAGCCGACGCAGAGGTTAGTGAGGAGCTCAAAGCTGTGCACCTCCTCATCTTGCTCGCCCAGCTTGGCCGGCACGCGATAGATTGTGGTTCGATTGTTGATGGACAGAGCCGAGTCGGGACCTGTCTGTGACGGCTGTGTGGAAGGGCTTTCGTGGTCCATCACGAAGGCGCCGCTGTCCTCTTCGAGTAGCGACTCTGGCGAGACCACGAGCTCTAGCGGTCCGATTTCGCCATTGCCGGCATCTGCATCGTCGAAGAGACTGAGAGCGCGTCTCCAGAGCTCACGGCGCCTGCGCAGGACGCTCAATCTTCCGCTGACACCTCCTGCGCTGCGCTCGTCAGAGACACGACCGAACGCCATCATGTCGAGCAAGAAGCCACGCGCGATCTTTTCGCGGAGCTGATCGCACCACATGACAGCGAGGTGATCGACGGAGGACCAGAGCGACGGAAGAGAGCCGGTGTAGGTCGAGATGCGGGAAGCGGGTATTGACTCGCCGATACGTGCCAGTGAGAGCGATGATGGATCGGATGGAAGCTGTGTGTCTAGCAGTCCACCAGCGATGGAGACGAGCAATGGCGGCGCTCTTACTGATCCAGCTCGTGTGTTCTGCGCTTCGATTGGCTTATTGATGAGGGAATAAACGTATTCTAGACTGCGATCGAAGGGCACAGGCGGGTATGCGTGAGGTGTGCTCAGCGTGACGATGGTATCGATCTTTCCGACACCGTGATCCGGCAGGTGCGTGGCGAGACGTGCTGCGATGCCGCCCATACTGTGAGCTAAGATGGGCACAGTCGTGTTGCGCTCGCCTGGAGCGTAGCTGAGGTTTGGAGGGGAGGCATAGCGATTGGTGAGATACGCAACGACCTCGTTAATGAAGGTGGCTTGCTCGATCAAAGTGGACCCGCTGAAGGCTGAAAAGTCCTCGTTGAAGTCGACAGTGTACCAGTCGGTGTGGGCGACGCCAGGAGGGGCATCGTTCCACTCGTCTCTGCGCGCGCCAGAGCCATTCTCCTTGTAGAACTGACGAGCCGCACTCGATGCTACACTGCGGACCTGACCATAAGAGCCAGAGTTGCCAGGAACAAAGAGGGCGGGACTGCCAGTTGGAAGGTCCATCGGCTCGAAGTCGCGCTCTCGATAGAGATAGAGGCGATACTTTCGCCACAGGCCGGAAGGTGAGAAGGGCTCGAGATTGGCGGTGTGGTCGATATACGCTGGTCGCATCCTTGACATGCGACATTGCTGCGAGATGCCAAGCTGCTTGGGCAGCTGGACGAAGGAGACGAGCGAGTAGTTGGCCAGTGTTACCGCTATTGCCAGGATGCACCAAGGCAGCCAGGTGAGGCGAGCATGACGACTCATTGTCCGCCAAGGTTGAACGGCAAGCTCCCGACAGTGCTATAGTCCGCTATCGAGTTGGCTGAGCCCATCGGCTTTGCCGTCATGGATGAAGTGGACGGAAGCGGACCGAAAGCTGCGGGTGTCGCGAAGGATGCTGATCGATCGGCAGCACCGAGCGTGGGTCTTTCCGCAAGCTGAGCGAGAGATCGCGGGAACGTGATGGTGAAGCTGAGTCGTGTGGTCGTGTTGGTCAGTGTGGCTCGTCGGCATCTACCCAATCCCGCAAAGTGTTGTTCTCCACACGCATGCTTCCGCACATAGCCCGGCAGAGGAAGCTTCCTGGGTGACCTCGGAAGACGGGCGAGCTCATGCAGGACCCTCTCGTGGTTTTTGCTTTCTCGAGAAATTTTGGTTCGCAGTTGAAGGTTTGATGTTCGCAGGGGAATTGTATCACGCTGTCGGCCTCTCCGCTCTTCCTTCTCTCTTCCAGTCACCTCGTCGACTGTCACGTTCCCACGCAAAGCCTTGCAGAAGGCGCAATCACGCTACAACTCAGCCATGCCGTTGAATACAACGACATTCCTGGTCTCGCAAGGATGGGAAGGCGTCGGCGTCCCTCTAGACGGCAAGGCAGGCAAGGGCCTCAAGAAGCCGCTGGCCATCACACAGAAGAAGACGCTCTCTGGCATCGGCAAGGATCGTGATCGCGCCGATGACTGGTGGAACAGTATCTTCACTGCTGGCGCAAAGAGTCTCTCAATCGGACCATCACCGTCCTCCTCCGGTACATCCACTCCAACCCTCGACAAGACTTCCGCCAATAGTACTTCCTGGAGCATGGGCGAAAGATCAGCTGCAACTGCCAGCATGTCCTTGTCATCGCTCGCTAAGCGTGAACACGCAAGAAAGACGCTCATGAGCAATTTTGTTCGCGGCAAGCCCATCGTTCCTCCAGTGGAGCCCGAGCTCGAGCTACCAAAGGCTCTTCCAGCCGTATCGGCCGTCAAAGCTGAAGGAAGCAAAGTCGTCGCAGCATCGGATGCAGAGATCGAGGTTGCCTTGGACGTGACTGCACCGTCGTCAAAGTCAAAGTCGAAATCGAAATCGAAGGAACACAGAACTGAGGAGGAAAAGCTCGAGAGGAAGCTCGCCAAAAAGGCCTTACGCAAGCAACTCGAAGAAGTCGGTCAACCCTCGGATCCGTTAGAGCGGAAAAGCAAGAAGACGAAGAAGGGCTCTCAGGACGAGAGCAAGGCAAGCAAGAAGGAGAAGAAGCGCAATGCCGACGCAACGCTCTCAGAAGAGCCGGCATCACCCACGAAGAAGCGCAAGCGGAAAGCAAAGGAAATTGCTGAGAATGAGACGGCCACGTCATCACCAGACAAGGACCTGAAGCCCAAGAAGAAGAAGAGCAAAGACAACAAGACGATGAAGGAGGAGGACGAGAGGAGAGTCAAGAAGGGCAAGAAGGACAAGAGCAAGGGAGACAAGAAAGGCGTGGTGGCGGATTAGGCCGTCCTGGCAATACAGGGACCAACTGACTGGAACGTACCAGAGGACAGAGTGCAAGTCTAGCAATGATACCCTCCCGTAAAATTCACTACCATGTCGTTGAGCTCTCTCGAGGATACAGAGCATCCTCAGCTAAACCCAATCACCCCCGCCCCCTTCTGGGACATTTCCCGTTTCTTGACAGGAGCTCTCCTGAACCCAGTCGCCATTCGAAGGTCGCCACCTCTCACGAGATTGTCCAGGTCCCGTTCCAGTTCGCGCAACAAGGTGAAGTCGATGTCAAACCGCATGATGTTGTTTTCGGCGATTCGACCACGAATGTCGATGTCCCGGGTAGCCGCGGCCGCATGCGCCTGCAAGGCCGCGGTTGCAGCAGCTGCGTGCAGCGACCCGTGTTCTTCGAGCCGATAGATCTCGTTAAATTTCTCCGATGCTCGATCGGCGAGCTCAGTCGGTGTCGGCGTCAAGAGTTGTCTCGAAAGGTGGAAGCGGTCGCGCAACGCTTGCAAGTACTCGACTCGGACACGATCAAGGCCAAGTGGAGCGGCATTGTCGATCAGGTGCGATAGAACCCCGCGGATATCCCTGATCCGGTCTCTGCCCGATCGTTCGTAGACCGCGTCAGCGAGAGCGCCCACCTCAGCTGGATCGATTCGAGCGCCACGGACCGGATGAGCCAACTGATAGGGTCGATAGACTCGCGAAAGCGCCTGCAGCGTCTCTCGGGAACGAGGCACGCGCGGAAACAGGTCCTGTTTGAGATGGTGGAAGGTAGCGATAGGCAATGCGCCACGATCACCAGCTTGCAGACCGAGATCTCCCATCGTGTCCGCCAGCGTTTGGCCTCGGGATGCGGGCCACATGCTGAACGGTTCGTTGTCGGTCCCGCCCGCTCGACGTTGGAGATTGACGCGGTGGATCGTATCCTTCTTGATGGCACGCTTCTCCATTGTTGCGGACTGCACGTACTGAGGCGACCTGAGAGCTAAGTGGCGAGTCGACGCCCGCAGATCTTGGGTAAAGTGATCGAGCTCTTTCTCCATTCGGAAGATCAGCTCTAGGTCTGTCATGATGCGGTGCTCATGTCTTCTTAGTCGTTCCCTCCTTTGCCGCAGAAGCCCGTCTTTCCAGCCCCACCAGTCCCGTTGATGGCCTTGCCCCTCTCGCAGGACTGCTGACTGAGCATCCACTCTCTCAGTAAATACTCGTTCGATTTCGCTTGTTGTTGGGCTGAGAAGGCGAACCAGACCATCAAGACGCCTCGAGAGCGCTTCGAGATACCGACTCTGGGTCGTGTCGAGCGACAGGTGCCTCTGCTCGCGTATCAGATCGCTGTTGCCGTAGTACGCCAATCGCAATAGGTTACTTTCAGTGAATGTTTACAAATCGGATGGGAATGTAGGGAAGGCGAAACAGAGGTCCAACTTACTCGATTAGAACACGCATGCGTTCGAACCGCCTCCGTCCCAGGCTGGTGGATAGCCTCATTCGGATCCAGTCCCGATTCCGGCTCAGCTCGTGGACTGTCGTCGGGAATGCATTCCGGTATTCATCAGCGTAGTGAGCGATCTGCATCGCCTTGGCTCTTGGGATCGAGTTGCGGTAGACTAGCAGCGGCCTGTGCTGACCCAGGAAATCGTTGAGAGGCTCGAAATCGGGGTCTTGCGGCCGAAGCGGATACAGAAGCGCATCGTTTGATCCGAACGACTGGAAGGAGCTGTGCGGAAGCTGCGCTGACGGCGTGGCATCACGTGTAGCCGAAGAGTCTTCTGCATTGTGGACGGGATCGTTTCTACGAACGAGACGGTTCACACCTCCCTCGACAAGATCGTCCAGCTCCTTCTCCAAGCGAAACATCATATGAAAGTCGGATGTGATGCGTCGAGAGTTGGATTCGAGATCGCCCGTTCTTCCGTGGAGAGCCTGGATCTTCCAGATCAGGGGATTGGCCTCATTCGCCTGACCGGGTCGAAGCCGCGCCCGTTGCGATGCTACTCGATCGATATACATCGCTTCAATCTCGCTCCGAGTAGGGCTCAAGATCTTCGTCAATCCTTCCAGCCGTCTTGAGAGCGCTTGAAGGTAGGCGATTCGACTCGCATCCAGGCGCATTTCTGCGGCATGATCTAAAATGCGACTGTGTCGTTCAGGAAATCACGGGAGCGACATCGAACTCTCGTCAATGATTGTAGACGAAGCGCCAGATGGAAGATGCACTTACTTGACAACAGCCCGCATGGCCTCGACTCGAATTTTGCCAGAAGCCGTCAAGAGCAATGAATGCGTGAAGGCCTCTGGATTAAGAAGATATCCTCGACTCGGATTCACCTCTCGATAGATTTTGTGATAAGCCGTTAGGCGTTTGATCGCGGTCCTTGAAAGCGTTTCCGGGCTGATCACTGGCGCGCCCTGGGAGAGGAAATGTGCCAGAGGCTCAATCTCGGGGTCCTCTGGTCGAAGTCCAAGCGAACGCATGACTCTGTCCCTCGCGGAGGGCTGGGGGGAGGAGCTTGCAGGTATGGTTGCAGATGTTGAGGAACTTTCAGCATTCTCAGAGCCTCCTGCGTGGTCGAAGGGGTCATGTCTGCGAAGCAAGTTGACTACATTCCAGTGCTTCGGTCGAGAGAGAAGGATAGAGTCGATTCTAGTCTGAGCGCCAGCCAACTGTTGATCAGTGCGTCTGGCCGGGACGGCAAAGGCGCAAATCAGGCTGCCGAGAATTGCGATCAGAGGAAAGACTCGCATCATCTTTGAAGCTTTTCGGCGTTTTGGTTGAAACATCGCTGTGACGTCGAGGAAAGGGGGTTGGAGGAGTGCGGCCTCCGAGCATAGAGCGTCGCGGCTCTCTCTTGTATCACAAGAGGCTGTTTCACACGGTCGATTGAGCCCACGTCATCACCAAATTGAGAGTCAACGGCGGGAACGGCCTCGACTTTGCACGGTGGCTTTGTTGTCAGGGGCAAATTCACGTTTGTCTCGATACCTCGGTGGGTGGTGGGGACTGTCAGCTGATCGCGGTTGCTTGTTGAATGAAAGCGACTCGCGTGAAGTCGAGCAACAAGCAAGAGGGTCATGATAGCATTCATGAAGCCGAGACTGTTTGACTTTGCCTCGACCTGATGACTTCTTGTCGCTGCATCGCTGCATTGGAGAGCAACGGTCGTCCCGGGTGATCTCAAGGCGTGGCTTATCTTAATGCATAGACTATACAGCACCCGTTGCTTGTCGATGTGGGAAAGAGCTTGTCGATGTGGGAAAGTACGAGTCGTACCCAAAGTCTGCCCTTCGTTGCTTTACTAAGACGCATAGATGCAACAGCTGTGTTGATGCGAGCCACTTGACAGTGGGGACTACAGACCGATCGTTGATGATGCTCAACGCAGCTCTCGCCTTTCACCTTTGTTCTCTTGGGGGATTTTCGCTTGGCGACAGCACAGTGTCATTTGCTTCGCGGTGTCGCCTTCAGCAGTGCCGTTTGGGCACGCTTGTCGTCTATATAAGCTCCCTTTCTGAGCGTTCTCAGAAGACCTCGACCAAGCAACCATCAAAGTCGCCATTCGATTGCCCAGAACCGATCAACGAGTCATCACGATGAAGTTTCTCTTCGGTCTCTTCCTCGTACTCAGCTTCTGCTGCTCGATCTGCTTTTCGATGAATCCGGGCCCGTCCTTGGGACAGGGATCTGGTGGCTCCGTTACTCCCAGCTGGTGGGCGGAGTACCTGACCACCCACCAGCAAGGCGGTCATGGAAGCATCATCACCGGGAGCCGTATGAACCCAGCTGAATATGTGCGCTTTCGGAGGCGCATGACGGCCCTCGACACCATTCGCCAGTAAGTCTTAGGAACAGGGGAGTGCTCCTTTCGGGACAACTGTATCGCTCACGTTGCGTTTCAACTTTTCTTTCCAACAAACAAGGCGGATCCTCAGTCTACAAAACCTCCAGGCGAGCCCTGAGGCCGTGCGAGTCCTCGATAATCCATTCAATCCATGGGGCCAAGAGCGCATTCAGATCCAGGGCGCCACCGTCACCTTGCAGAATCCGCATGACCTTGACAGGGTGGCCCTTCACTGGCAGCAGGATGTCCTCAAGATAGATGCTATCGAGAGACACATCACCGAGCTGATCAACACGGGTCGCATTCGTTAAGTTGATCTTACGGGCTGTTCTGCAAGAAGATAGTGCTGTCAACCACTGCACTCAAATTCTTCGCCGCATCAATAAGCAAAGCCCTTCGTACAGCTCTCTTCTGTCAGCTCATTCTTGTTTGCCTCTTCTAGGCGTTTTGTTCGCAATATGGTAGTCGAGCAAACCTTGAAAGTTTACCTGCAGCCATCGGCTCGCCTGGGATTCGCTTCGTCAGAGTAACAAAGCTGCATTTATGCGAGGGTGACCGTATCGTGCTTCTGTACGGCTTGTGCTGATCTCAACAAGAACAAATTCTGCGTGCTCGCTCACACAGGCGAGGAGTCAACCTGAACGAAACGCGACAAGATGCTTGCAAAGCCTGAACAAGTGATCACTGAAACGTCATGGCCTGAACGACTCTTCATAGCGCATAAGCTCGCCTTCGATGAGTGCAACCTGCTCCCTGAGCTGAAGATACCGAGTCTGTATCTGCTTGAAGCGCTGTGGCCACGGCACAGTGTTGGAGATGCCGTTGTGCCAGCTGCGATACGTTTCTGACGGCCAGAGCTTGTTCCTGACGGCAGGAGAGATGAGATCGTGGTACTTCTGTCGTCTGAAGGTCGTGAAGACACGTTAGCATGCGCCTGCCGCTTTGTTATTCTAGGGAAAGACTTACAGCTCGAAAGCGCTCAGAGCTCGTTGCTTGATCATTGGCAGGATCTGCGTGAACCATTTCGGGCTTCTCTTGAGATCGTTCGGCAGACCGGCTGGATTTGCCTCGAAGTGGCGGCTTAAGTCGCTTCGCAGCTCTGCTAACCGTTGCGAACGAGCCGCGAAGCTGGGTTGCTCGGATTCCAACGGCTTAAGAGGGACGGTGTTGCTAGTTGAAGCGCCGTCAAGCTGATCTGGCAGAACTCGATCGGGGCTACCGGACAACGGACCCGAAAGAAAGCCAGAGGCGGCCGATGAGGTAATCGTGTGAGGCGTCGTCCTCCTCCCAGCGTAAATTCCTCCGAGTGAAAGTTCCAAGTCGATATCAGGATGATCTTGTGCACTGCTGACCGCGTCATACCTTCCAGAAAACGACCTGTCGGCTGCGAAAGCTCCCACGACACATAGAAGTGCCCCTAGGCCTAGGCGTGCCACGGATGCCATCATCCTTGTTCGCCGAAAGAAGCTTGCTGTCTTGTCTCTGGTTTCCAAGAGAGATTGTGGCGTAGTTCAATCGTGACCGACAGAGAGCTGATGAGCGCTGGTTCAATCCTCTTATGTCCATTGACATCTCGCAGAGCCTATCCACGATCTCAAGGTGCAAGCCGAACGAGGTCAGATCTCGGTCCATGTTGCGACAACGTTCCGCTTGGATGAGTCCCGACGATCGAAATGGTGTTCAGACAAGCTATAGAGCCACCAACTCTTTCGTGTTGTCATGTTGCGGCATGTGCTCCCTCTTGGCGTCTCCGTTGCTCGCCGGTGAAGCAACCTGAAGCACCGACGCCTCGAAAGAGTCGAAAATGGCTCAAGCCGGTTCAGCCAATCGATTGACAACCTCAGCGAGTCTCATCGACTCGATATGAGAAGGGTTGTCGAAGAAGGAAGCGGCGCTTCCTGTCTGACCCACCGGGTCAGCAGGTCAAAGGATGCCGATCAAGATCATAAAGAGTGCGTCCAGCACCCATTCGAATCCTGTGTCTTGACCTCAAGCACTCGCGACACCTGCGCTTGTCCTCTCGTTACCGCCGACGGAAGACCATTCAAACGGCTCCTCAAGAACCATGCGGTTATCTATCCTGCTCCTTATCCTTACGTTCGCGACTATGGCTGCATGTGCAGCTATTCCTATGCAGCTGCTTCGCAGAACCGGCTCCTCCGTCTCAGAGGAGAGCGCTGTAGTTGATGCGGCGCGTGCTCGACTGGTCTCAGGAGCTCCTCCGCATTGGTTCCCTAACTACGCTCCCTTTGCCGTTCTCAAGGTCCCGGCACTCTTTCGGGGAAATCAAATTCACGTTGATCGGCTGCAGCCCTTCAGAGATCGTCTCGAAACCTACGAGACTGTGCGAAGGTAAGTCACCCCTGTGTTCGGCTTGAGATTGACAAGACGCTGATCACTCTGATCGCTTTTCGATGCTGATGCAGCTCCATCCTGCAGAACAATCACGCCGAGCTGATCGACGCCGAGAAGCAGCTCTTCCTGAAGCCGTTCAACGTGCAACACTGGCGAGACTTCCAGGTTACCGAGGAGAACCCTCACAACATTCACAGAGCCACACTGCTCTTCCAGCAGGACAAGCTGCAAATGGAGAACATGGACGCCGTGATCGCTAGACTGTTGCGACGTGTGCGCTGGTGGGGCCTTTGAGTAGCATGATCGCTGCAATTGATTGCAGTGCGCGGGCTACATCAGTCTGTTTTACTCTCTCGTCCATCTCCACTTCCTCCCGTTGCGAGTGTCAAACAAGCTTGACCTCGCATCCGTTTCTTCTTCCGCCCGATTTCTTCCCATTGTGTTCCGCCTGTATGTCCAGCCCTTCTCAGCACACGACCGGCCCCTACGGCGGCTCATGAGCCTCTGAGCCAGCGGAGAAACTCGCTGCCTTGCAATCTGATCATCCTCCCTATCCTTGGGTCGCCCATGCAAAAGTGAGCTTGATGTCTACTTGCATTGAGAAGGGCGCCTGACTGTGCTACCGTCGCGTTCGATGCTTGAGACCTCGATCACAACAGGATGCGAACGCCTCGAGTATGGCCTGACACGGTATCGACGTCGACTTGAAAGCGTCACCACGGGTGTCTCGTCTTGTGATCGCTCGCCGCGGGGGTAAATCTCGACAGACGACTGCTTAAGAGAGATTCCGCATGCTACTGTGGATCGACGTGCTACCTGCGCAATCGCAGTGGGCGTTGAGTGGCTCTGCGGATGCTTACTGTAGTGGGGGCTGTGGTTATGAAAGTGGACAGGATCTCGAATGGCTCGACAAGCGCTATTGTCCCCCGTGCCGATCTCACCGACACCCGCTACGGTGTGGGGTTGCATCCTTGTCCACGCTATGTATGGTACCTCTCCAACAGCCGTCTCGCTCACAGCATGAAGGCCGGCGATCCTGAAGAGGGGCCGCAGTCGCTCGCTTCACGGCTATATATGCCAGCCTCAAAGCGAACGGAAGGAGGAATCGATACCATCCATCAAGCGCTCTAAGACCGACTAAGACACCATGAAAGCCAGCTCTCTCTTCTCCTTCACCATCGTGGCGTACCTTGCACTGTCTGTGCTTGGCATTGCAGGCGCCCCTCCTTTCCGCAAGACCTCTCAGCCAGTGGCTGCCGACTGGTGGGTGTCCTACCTCGACACGCATGCTTACAAGCAGCCGCCTTCCATCAGCATCGTGCAACGTGCCAGAGGCGAGCACCTCGCCCAACACTTTGAGCCCTTCCAACAGCGTCTTGCCCGTCTCGAACAGCTCAAACGGTGAGTATCACTTCAGTCTTCGTGCAAAACATCGCCATGTGTTCTGACATTGCGATTTAGCGGAGACAGCTGGGTGCTGGGCAACGCAGAGACGAAACGGGTGCTGACGCCCTCCCAACGCGGCACTCTGAGCAAGCCGTTCTTGGCATGGGACCAGGAAGCGCTCAGGGGCGATGTCAAGAGTCGCGCCGAGCTAGCACGCAGGGTGGAACAAGAGAGCGGGCTGGTGGAGAACGTTGAAGATGTCTTGAACGACGTTGCTATGTTCTTGCCTGACGTTAAATATCGGTGGTAGGGCGATATGCTTGCCTTCTCTTTGCGTCCAGTCTCCGATTTCCAAAAAGCTCTACCGTCCTCCGAACTTTGGCGTATCACGTGTGTCGAGGCTGCCTGTATGAGGGGGTGCATGATGAGACGGAGGCTTCACTTCCAGCCACGAGCGAGATAGCTGCCCTTGGGAGCGCATCCAGGCCGCACACAGAGACAAGCTGTGCACGCACCTCATGTAAGCTCTCGAACGGATCTTCACTACATGATGAGAAGGCTATGATCTAGACATGACGCGGCCCCCTCTGCACCGCCTCTTGAACGCCCTCGACGAGGTCGTGTGCCGCACTCGATGCCGACTCGGGCGCCTCCTGCCATCGTCTCGGCGTGGAGCTCTGCAGTCGCGCCCTCAAATCGTTCCCCTCTACTTCTGGACTCGCCCCGACTTGCGGCGTGTGAGTCCACCTCTTAGGCGTGCTGCTCTCCAAATCGCCCCGCCCCACGGGCGCCCCTCTCCACCCACTTCGTCCGTCCGTACGTTCCCTCTCCTCTGCTCTTCTCTCTTCCTCGACCTTTGCGACACCCAACCTCTCCAAATACGCCAAATGCTCTCTCCACCTCCCCTCTTCCCCCCCTCGTTCCGCGGCCGCACTCTGGCCAACAGCCAAAAATGCGCCCCAATGCCTATACATTGATTCCTCCCAGCGTCTCCACTCGGGTGCCAAACTCGCATATCTCAGCGCGGTAGCTATCTGCGTGTATCGCAACAAGACGGAGAGCTCGCCCAGTTGCATCTCGTGTTGAAGCAAGACGGAGAAGTGGGCCTTGCGGGAGGTTTCCAGCTCGATAGTCTGGGTGAGGAGTGCGATGGAGCGGAGGAGCTGCTGTTCTTTGAGCCAGACCGCAAATGGCGGTGGAGTGGGGTATAGGATGGGATGATAGCGGAGATGAAGGGTCGAGAGGTAGTGCGTGTGAAGGGAGGATTCGCGCCAGAAGGAGGGCGGGCCGAGGATGGGGTAGAGAGAGGAAGAGGGAGGGTAGTCGAAGGGTTCGAGTGATGCTCCTCGGGAAAGGAGGGCGCGGCCGGCGGGTGGGGCGATGGGCGGCGGCGAGGATCGATCGGAGCCGGCGGCGAGCACAGGGAGGAGCTGGAAGAGGTGGTAGAGGAGGATGAGGAGAAGCATGTTGGGGGATCTGGTGACAGTCGAGAGTGGTGGTAGAGCAAGTGAAGGGATCCGAGCGCACTGAGCCGATGTCAAGATGAGTCGTTCGACCCACGCAAAAGGAGGCGATGGTAGGAATGGGGGCATTCGAGTGAGCGAGCTCGTTGTCGTTCACCAAGCAGGGGTCGACTTCATCAGCGAAGCGGGCGTGGTGATTGTCGGCATCGGCCCCGTGCGAGGTCGAATGAAGTTGCCGCAGACCGCCACGAACGCAACAACCCATCGCCCACCAACCATGTCACGCTTGTATTTCGCCCACGCCTCACTTCGTATCCATCCACAAAGGATCTGATCGAGATGGCAGATGGCAAGGCATTGGACGAGCTGCGAGCACCGTCAAGGAAGGCGGCCAAGTTGGACAGCGGTCCTGAAAAGTCGAACCCCGCTCCGAAAAGCCGCGGCTTTCCCATCGGTATGCAAAGCTGATAAACGTGGCTTTTTGTGTTGACAACGCAGCTGCAGGTGGTGCGTCAGGGCGCTTACCGAGCCGCGTGCCCTGGTCATGTTGATAGCCATCCGCATACAACGGAGCCTTTCTTCTTCCCCCCCACATCAAATCCTTCCTATCACACTCGACAGCCTACACTCGTCAACGGCGCGAAGAGAGGCGGCACGATGAAGACGCAAGCGGGGCACCACAGCCATCTGCAGATACCCTTATGGTCGTTCTATACCCCAACACCGTTTCCGGCTCTCGAACAGCGACTGTTTCCACCACGCCATCGGCAGACGCTGGAGTACACGTCGGCTGCCAAGTTCATATCGATCCTGCGGGTGTTCTATGTGCTGTTCGTTGTGGTACCGATCCACACGGCTGCGGCGGTGCTCAGCCATGCGCTGTACCCAAAGTTGAAATGGCTAGAGAGAGGATGGGGGACGGGGACCTTTCCGACAAGGCTGCCGGCGTGGGGGCTGGGTCAGACGATCGGGGTGCCGCTCGTAGGCAGTTTGTTTTGGGCCCTCGTCTACGGGTCTCCGAAAGGCATGGACTGGCGTGAAGAGCGTACGATCCCGCGGACGAGCAAGTGGTTGTTCGGACGAGGACACGAGGGGTGGTGCATCGAAGCTGAGGGCGTCACCCTTCCCGCGCTGCCCACTGCATCGCAAAGCAATGGTCACTCCCACTCCAACAGCAACGGCGGGATCAAACAGCGCAAGATCAACGGTCGCGGAACCATCGCAAACAAAGACTTCATCGACGCCGCCGCCGACCCAACCACTCTCCACGCCACCGACGTCGCCCCCTCTGCCAAGCCCTACGATGCGCTCGCCGAGGGCGTCCCAACGGACATCCTGCGCGGCGCCGTCAAAGGGACACTGTTCGGTGTGGAACCAAAAGAAGTGGCCGCCTTCTGGCAGTGGAAGAGCGTCGCGTCCGCCGTGTCCTATGGCAAAGTCATCTCGGTCAAGCCTGGCAACGATGTAGCTGGCATCGGCAGTGGTCCTGCTATCAGCGCTGACGAGCGCATGGTGCTATTCTTCGTCGGAGGCGGCTACCACTCCGGTCACGCACCGCAAGGACCGCTCTCGTGGACTGTCTGCCGTCAATCATGCCTCCGCGTACTGGGCGTCAACTTCCGAAAAGCGACCAAGGACAGCTTTGCCTTCCCCGCTGCGCTGCAGGATGCGCTCGCCAGCTGGGTCTACGTCACCAAGAGGCTGGGGTTCAAGCCGGAGAATGTGATTCTGATGGGTGACTCGGCGGGTGGCGGACTAGCGTTGTCCCTCCAGCTCTACCTCTCCGCGTTGCTCTGGTCGGGAGAGGAGGGGCTGGGTCGGGCAAAGAAACTCGTCCTCCACAGTCCTATGGTAGATCTTACCCTCGGAACAGAAAGCTTCACCGCAAACGACAAAGTCGACATCATCTCGCCCTACATGTGCTCCTTGGCGAGGGACAACTATCTGCGGCACGTCATCAGCGTCGATGGTCGTAAGAATACGTTTGTCGATGGTCGGGGCTACGGCGAGGGGAGAGTGGACGAGGTGGCGGCGCGGTACGAGCTGGATCCGTACTCTCTCGAGCCTTCTGCGTCGGAGTCGGATAGCCGCGTTCAAGGGGAGATGAAGCGTCTAGCATCGGAACTGTCGGAAACGGTATTGGAGCTGGGCGCGTTCCACCCGCTCTTCTCGCTGGGCCTGGACGCAAGGGGGAACAAATACCTCGCCCAGTGTCTGCTGCTCTTCCACCCTCCACCGTCGCAGTCGGACGCCGAGATGGAGCTGCTAGTCACCGTAGGGACGGCCGAGATCTTTCACGACCAGATCAAGCTCTTTGTGCGAAACCTGCTGGACCTTCTTTCCCCGTCGTCGCAGGGTAAAAAGGAGCAGAGAAAGGAGGAGAAAGTCAAGGTGAGCCTCGTCGAGTGCGTAGGCTGGCATCACGTCTTCGCGTTCATGAATCTCCCCGGGAAGGTCAAGGCGCAGGTGGACGACGTGGCCAAGGCGTTTATGCTCTCGTAGCGAAATGCAAGATAGATGCGATGCAGAGGATGGTGCTGTGTGGCGTGTCTATGTGTGTATGTGTTTATGCAGCGGATCCGTTCGTCGTTGACTTTTGCCGTACGATGACGCTGTTGAAAGGCAAGCTGGTCAGCGATCGTTCTCCAGTGATCGTGCGTGTGCGGTGCGACTTACTGAAAGTGACTTAACCCAGGCACGGTGCGCAGATTGGGTGGGTTGCAGAACCACGCTGTCTCGTACTCTCCCTCTGGCCACTTGGCCTCGACAAACCTCGTTACATGTCTCGAAGCCCAGGCGTGGGCCTTGCTCACCTCCTCTCTCGAGACTTGCGCGCCGTTCTCCAGCCTTGCTTGCGAGTAGGTCCCCACAACCTCTGGCACCTCTCTCCCTTGAAACCTATACTTCGGCTCGAGCGTAAACCCCGTGAAGCCCCGGATACCGTCCCCCGTAATGCACGCGTAGAGCTCCTCCCTCATTCCTTCATCGAACGGCGTGTCGGGCGTCTCAAACAGCGACGGGTGCAAGATGGGCAGTTTGCTCCAAACACACCAGTGCGTAGCCCCCGCTGGTACGCCATACGGCCAATCGTTCGGAATCACTTTCACCAACCCACCTTCTTCTGTGTCCTCCACGAAGTGACGCAGTTCCACGCCCGTGACTGGATGCGGAAGGGTCTTTTCGGGCCAAGTCTCTTTGACTTCTACCATGGGGGTTCCTGGTGTGCTCGTCCCGGAAGCGCTGCCCATCACGGCAAAGGGATCCTTCTGCGGGCGATCGAGCATGTTTGGTGGTGGAGGACCGACAGCTTCCTCAGCAGGCCAGCCGAGGCGGACGGTGCGAATGTAGTTTTCTATCGACCCATGCGCCGCGCGTGCAGTGGGCGCGAATGCTCGGTAGGCCGTATCGCACACCGGATCGCGAAAGAGCTGGTCCAGATCGCCCGTGGCGAGGATGCGGATGATGTACGACCATGTCATGAACGGTGAGGGACCGGGAAAGGGCGGGTTCGGGAAGAAGGTGGACGGTGTGCGGTCGTCGATGTACGAGGGAAGGTGGAGCGACACGAGTGGGTCGATGGCGGAGCCGCTCGACTGCGGTGGTGGGTCGTTGTTGGCCATCGTGCTAGGAGTCTGATGTGCGTATCTATGAAGAGCGTGGAGTCTATCGCGTGCGTGAAGGAAGCTTGTCGTACGTGTCGAAAGCGTGCGTCGATTGAGATGGGGATCAAGAAGGAGGGGAGGATGGAGGTGTTGGGTAAAGGATCGTCGCGGAGTTGGACTTTGAAATTAAGAGTGGTCCCTCCTCCCCGCCGTGGGGAATTTGGGCGCGTCTGGGCGTGTCTCACGTGGCTGCTGGCTGCTCAGCAACGCCGAGAGGACGCCACCCGGAGTGAGCTGGACCATCATTCTCACAAGCTCCATTGTACTGAACTCACGACGGCCTTTGTTCACCAGCATGGATAACAGACAATGGCAGACCTTGCGGTTTCCGAATGAGATGACATTTTGCATTGACCAATGAAAAAGACCGAGCGTAAAACAATAGAGGAACACGACAATGAGTGTATATGAAGGAGCACAGCCGGAAGGATATCTAGCATATCCGAGGAGAGTAAGCTCTTTTGTCCGTATCCGTTCCGTGGGAAGACTAAGCAAATGATGAACCTGCGGCCCGTATCCATTCGGGCCGATCAAAGCTCTTTAAGCCTGGCGCTTGATGATGTCGGCGGCGAACTCGGCGACACCATAGATGGTGGCCTGGATGTGGGCGGCGATGTGAAGGGGCATGATGGAGGCGTCGACCACACGCAGGTTCCTGGTACCGTACACGCGCAGGCTCGAGTCGACCACACCGCCCTGGTTGCGGGGCAGCATCGACGCGGTTCCAATAGGGTGGTACTCAGTCACCGACGTGGTCTTGGTGTACGTCTCAATGTCGACGTTGCCAGGCCAGTACTCGGAGTCGACCATGTCGCTGTACACCTTGCCCAGTCCAATGCGTCTCGTGTACTCTGTCCCGGCGGTGGCAATCTTGAGATCGAAGGGAACGTCAAAGTAGTTGGCCGCAATGTTGGGGTACTTGGTAGCATCGCTCGAGGTGATGTGGATGTTACCACGAGAGAAGAGATGCTGGTTGGCAGCGAGGATGGTAAAGTAGGTCTCGTCCGGCTTGGGTGCACCCGTACCGGCGAAGTAGCCATCAATGCCGATCAGCTCCATCTGGCCCACCTTGTCCGGGTACGAGGTGAGGAACTCGAGCTGCTTCTTGAGCGTCGCCTTGTACGGAGCATTGGACGACGAGACGTACTGCGAAACCTCGTTGATCATCTGCTGCGCACGCGCCTTGCCGACGACACGCGCAAGCGAGACGTACGAGATCGAGGGCACGGTCTCGGTGAGGATCGAGGTCTGGTTGGCCTTGTACGCAGCGGCCTGCTCAGCGGCAAAGGTCTGGTTGGAGCGCAGCGAGTCGAGCGTAGGGAAGCCAGGCTTGAGCTTGTAGACGGTAGCAGAGTAGGTGTGGTCCTGCATGTTCTCACCGACGTTGGAGTTCTCGTAGAGCACCTTGACGCCCGCCTTGCCCAGAACGCTCTTGCTGCCGATACCCGAAAGCTCGAGCAGCTGAGGGGTGTTGACGGTACCACCAGAGAGGATGACCTCCTTCTTGGCCTGGACAGTGTAGGTCTGGCCGTTGCTAGTGAACGAGACGCCGTTGGCGCAAAGACCGCCGCTGACGTTGGCAAAGTTGACCTTGGAGACGAGCGCGTTGGTGAGCACGTCGAGGTTGGAGCGCGCCTGATTGGGGAAGAGGTAGGCGGGCGCCGAGTAGGAGCGCGTGTAGTTGGAGGGGTTGATGTCCGAAGGCTGCTGCGAGACACCGACGTTCTCACCAGCCAGGGGCTGATCATTCTTGGGGATGCCAAGCGCCTGGAGAGCGGGAATCCATCGGCGAACCTGCTGCGAGATGTAGTTGGGGAAAGCGAGCTGGATGGGGCCGGAGGAGCCGTAGTCCGAGGCGACGGGCTTGATGCCGAGCAGGTCGGCGTTCTGCTGGGAGGGAGCGTGGAACTTTTCCGACTTCTTCATGGCACCGTACAGGTTGTTCCAGTTCCATCCCGGGTTTCCGAGCTGCTCCCAGGCGTCAATCTCGTAGCGCGACGATCGGTCCCAGACGTAAAAGTTGAGCGCCGACGAACCACCGAGCACCTTACCACGGGGCCAGCCGACGGCGGGGACGCCGTTGCTCTGGGCCGTAGTCGTGTAGTTCCAATCAAAGATTGTGCCGAGGTCAGCGCCGAACTGACCAGGGGTGTCGATGATGCCGACGCCGAAACCGTTTCCACCGGCCTCGAGGACACCGACGCTGTACTTGCCGTTCTCAGAGAGACGAGCGGCGAGGGCGAGACCAGCGGTACCGGCACCGACGATGATGTAGTCGTACTTCTTCTTGGAGAAGGCGGCAGCATCGTTGGAGATGGAGCGCGAGGCGATGTGAGCGTTCTCAGCCATGCGAGCGGCGAGCTCGCCACGAGGGCTGGTTTTGGTCCATGCGATGGGGTTGGCGGCGACCACGGTGGCCAGGGTAGCGGCCGCGACGAGCGTTGTAGTCTTCATTTTGGGTGAGAGGGGAGATGGAGCAAGGAGGAGGACGAGGGAGGAGGACGAGGACGAGGGTGAGAGAAGAAAGGGGAGGACGAGGTAACGCAAGCTGGTCGAGGTCTCTATATGAAGGAAACTGTGCTTCAGGGTGACCGACGCGGTTGCTCCATCGTCCAGAAAAAAAGGCGGTCAGAGCGGAGGAGCGAAGGGAACGAGACAAGGCTCAGAGTTGGACGACGGAAGAAAGAGACAGGCCATGCTAACGACGGTGGGGGCAAGGCGAGCCACAGCAAGAGTGCGCTAAAGGACCGAGGACAAAGCGACGCAACGACCTCCTCGCCTCTTTGCTCAATTTGGAAGGTTCAAAATGAAAAGCGGTCGTGTCTCACCCGGGAGCAGGAGCAACGGCGGCGGCAACGAGGTTCGACAGAGAACAACACCTCTGACGACAGGCCGTCTTTTCCATTGTGCGGAGAAGGGGGGCAAGGAGGGGAAAAGGGCGGCACATCAACGGTGGCGAAACGAATCTGTTCACACATGGACGAAAAGAGGGTCCAGAAGCTGTTGAAATGAGACGGCGATCCGAGAAGCGAGCGAAGCGGGTGAATCAATTCCGCGAAACCACTCCGTATGCTCAGCTTGGTAGTGGGGCAGCAAACAAAAGGCGGTGTCAAAAACCGACTAAGTGGCGTGGCGTGGCGTGGCGACTCGAGATGGGAGAGCGAGACAGAAAAGGAATGATAAAAGGTTAAATTTGAGCGGGTGGTGAAAAGGGCTCAATATGCACGCCCTCTTGGCGTGAGGGCGGAGTCAACAGTTCACCTTCAGTCTACGCTGCAGGGGCAGTTTTTTTTTTTAAAAAAAAAAAA